TATTTGCAACAACGTGGATGGAGATGGAGGACATTATGCTTAGTGAAATAAACCAGGCAGAGAAAAGACAAGTACCAAATTACTTTCCTCATTTGTGGAGTAACAACAAAGCAAAACTGAACGAACAGAATAGCAGCAGACTCACAGACTCCAAGAAGGGACTAGAGGTTACCAAAGAGGAGGGTTGTGGAAGGGCAAGTGGGGAGTGAGGGAGAAGGGATTTTAGGGGCATTATGATTAGTTCACATGGTGTGGGGGGGGGGGTCATGGGGAAAACAGTGTAGCACAGAGATGTCAAGTAGTGACTCTGTGGCATCTTACTATGCTGATGGACAGTGACTGCAATGGGGTGTGGGGGAGACTTGATAATGAGGGTGAATGAAGTAAGCAGAATGTTTTTCACGTAAAACCTTCATAAGAGTGTATATCAATGATACCTTAATAAAAAAATAAAGATGAAATGCCATGATGTCTGAGAATTTAAAGTACAATAGAAGAAAAAGCAATTGAGTATATGAGGAGGAATCAGCAGAATCTAAGAAGCAGCAATCAGTGAAGTGGGAAGAAAATCAGGAGAGTAAGGGGTCCTAGAAGCCAAATTAGTCACCTGTTTCATGGAAAATCAACTCTGTCAAATACCTCCTCATCAATCAAGATGTGGATTATGAACTGACCATTAGATTTTGTTGTATGATAATCATTGATGACATTGACAAAAGCAGCTTGTGTAGAGTGATAGAAAATGGGTGACAGATAATAGAGGAAGAGATCAGATGGGTGACACCAAGAGTGACAACATAGAATACAAGCAAATGGGTAACAGAGAGAGGGGTGACACAGTGACAGAAAAAATGGGCAACACATCAAAGAGGGTGGGTGACTCTCCCAGTCATCACTTATTATCTTTTAGTTTCCAGTTCAACCCTCAATACCTGTTCTGTGGGTAACAGACAACATTCCTTTAAGCATTTTTCCTTCACAATGAGCAGAACGCTAAGCTTTCTCAGTAGAGGGTGCCTGGGGGACACTGCTGGAGGAAGGGCCTCTTTGGAAGTTGCCAGGGGCTGTTGCACAGTGGGTCAACATGGGTCAACGAGCTGGCCCACTGCCATGCACCCAGAACATGCAGTCCCTCAATGACCTTGAAACTGCTGCCTGGCTTAACAATAACCTTCTTGCAGCCCTCTCTACATGGAAATCAACTCTCCCCAGCAGCTCACCTGTGCCCCAGTCTCCTACCCTTTCTGCACACCACCATGGGTAGCTGATGAAGCTGCTCCCCATCTGCACTCCAAAAGGCTGCTTCCTGCTGGCCCAGTGCACGCAGACCAGCTCTGGCCTGGGCCAGCCAGCACATTTCTCTGCTGTCCAGTGGCCTGAACTACACCTTCTCTAAGGAGGTCTGAACCTCAGCCTTTGGCAGAGGGTCTCCTTCCCAGTTTGTCGCTCCTGGGTACTCTCCCTTAGCAACAGGGTACCATACGGGGTTACCTTATTTCTCTTCTTTATCTTATCAAGCCTTTAATTAAAAAATTCTAGTGGCAGGACATCAAAATTGATTTCTTACAAAGTATAAGCTGCCATAGGAGTTTCTTTATTTCTTATACCTATTCATTTATCAATTTAATAATTCTTGATAATAAAATTCCTGTTTTAACACACTGTATGGTTTCTATATCCTGACTGGACCTAGAATGATACAGTGACAGAGAGAAAGAGAGGGCAGGGGACAGAATGAGAAAGTGTGTGACAGGAAAGGGTGGGAACAGAAAGAGGATAGGTAAAAGAGGTATAGAGAGGGTGGTTGAGATCATAGGTGACAAAGAAAGAAAGGGTGACAAAGGGACAGAATGACACGGATAATAGAGAGTCAACAAGTGGGATGGCAGAAAGAGTAAGTGGATGAGAGAGAATGAACTACAGTGTAAACAGGTAGATGACCTGCCTGTGAACAGGAGTGTGAACAGGTGGGTGACAGGGAGAGGTGAGTGACAGAGAGAGACAATGGGAGGGAGCAAGAGAGAGAACATGAGTGCCAGAGAGAAAGAGTGGATGATAGATTGGTGACCCAGAAGAAGAGGTAATGGGCAACAGAAAGAGACAGAGACTGAAGTGGGGGGAGAGGGGTGGGGAGAGGGAAAGAGAGAGTAGGGGGGATGGAGTGAAGAGCAGGAGAGAAAGAGAGGGAGGGAGGAAGAAAGAATGCCAGAGAGAGAGTGGAAGCAAGCAGGGGGATACAGTCAGCATAAGTGGGTGGTGGGTAAAAAAGGAGCTTGCAGGTGGGCATCATCCAGGAAGAGCATGAATGACACAGAGAGTGTGTGACAGAGTCATTGTATGCGACAGAAAATGAAGGTGTGTGAAAAAGCACGTGTGCAGAGTGTGTGACAGCAAGTTTCAAAGTTTTCTTTCATCTCAGGCAGGAGAAGCAGTGAGACAAGGAAGAAAGACAGAAATGGGAGAGAGGAGGGAGGGAGAGAGACAGAGAAACTGTGCGAGAGTATGACTATGCCAAGGAGCAGGTTGATGGGTGATGCAGAAGTTGGATGAGGTGATGGTTTGTGCAAGAGGTTTCAGTGTGGGCACGATTTGGAAGAGGAGGGGAGAGAGAGAGAAATAAAAGGACTGTGAGAGTTGAGGGGACCTGAGAGATGGGATGTCATGAGAGACCCAGGGAGACTGTGAGCGAAAGGTGGGGTTGTAAGAGAAGTGGGTGACTGTTTAGGGCAGTGGGAACAAGTGTGAGAACGTTCAGTAGAGCACGTGTGAGCAAGGGAGAGACCGGTGCCAGCGTGAGAGGCAATGGTGGGCAATCAGTACAAGCTGAGAGGCCCACTCGCTTGCTCAGGGAGGGGACTAAAGGGCTTAAGCCTTATTATCCCCATTTTTCAGATAAGAAAATTGAGGCTCAGAATATTCAAGTGACTTGCTTGAGATTTCCCAGCTAGCAAGTGGCAGAGCCGTAATTTGGACCCCAAATGGCCCAACTCTAAAGCCAGTGCTCTACCACACTGTACTGTACCTTCCTGATTTCCCCAAGTCTTCCTTATGGAAGTCATGCAACTTAGTCCAAACGCTTTTACTCCTCTGTAAGGAGACCTTTTGTCTTTCAACAGCCTTAAAACATTCTTTTTTTTTGAAAAGGAGAGAGAGGTATTTCACTGCCCCAATTTATTTATTTGTACTACATTTAAAATTAAAACTTCTGTGCATCAAAGTGCAGTGTCAACAGAGTGAAAAGGCAGCCTATATTGAAGAAAATATCTGCAAATCATGTATCTGATAAGGGGCTAACATCCAAAATACATAAAGAACTACAACTCAACAACAAAAAAACAAAACAAACAGACTAAAAAATGGGAAAAAGGGAAGGGGGCTAGGGATGGGTGACATAAAGGTGAAGAGGATAAAGAGGCACAAACATCCAATTATAAAATAAGTCACAGGGATGAAAATACAACATAGGAAGTATTGTCAATAACATTGCAACATCTTTGTTGACAAACAGCAATTACTCTTATCCTGGTGAGTATTTAGTACCATATATGATTGTCAAATCACTATGTTGTTCATACACCTGAAACCAATATAATAGTGTATATCAACTGTATTTGAATTTAAAAAATTAAACAGAAAGAAAAAGAAATGGAATGGGATGTATATACCACAAGCATTTGCATAAATGTGAAATACATACACAGAAACAATACTCGTTTTTCAGAAACACTTTCAAACAAAAAATACTTCAACACAAACAAACAAATAATGGGCAAAGGACTTGACCAAACATTTACCCAAAGACAATAAGCACATGAAGATGGTAGAGCTGCTACAGAAGACGGTGCGGCAGATCCTCAGAAAACGAAAAATGGAATTACCATATGATCCAGCATTCTCACTTCTGTATACACATCCAAGGGAACTGCATGAGGATCCCGAAGAGCACCCACACAATCCGCACAAGTTCACAGCAGCACTCTTCACAACAGTCAGAGAGGGAGGCAACCGGTGCCCATCAATGGAAAAATGGGTAAAGAAAACGTGATCTATGCCCACAACACAATGTTATTCATTCTTCAAAAGAACGGAAATCCTGTCACATGACACAACATGGATGAACCTTTAGGACGTTATGCTTAATAAAAAAAAAAGTCACAGAAAGACAAATATGGTATGATTCAGTTTATGTGAGATCCCTACAGGAGTTAAATTAAGAAAGAGAAGGTAAAATAGTGGTTGCCAGGAGCAGGGAATGAGAAGTTGTTTAAGTACAGAATTAGAGTTTTAGTTTTGCAAGATGAAGATTTCTGGAGATGGATGGTGGTGATGGTTGAACAGCGTTAATGTATTTCATATTACTGAACTGTACACTTAAGAATGGTTACGATGGTAAATTTTATATTGTATGTATTTTATTACAATTAAAAAAATTTTTAATGCTCACTTCCACATCACCATGCCCCCGATTCTTAGCCATTCGGCTAATGCTTATTCATTTTTCAACACAAATGCTGCCTCTTAGGAGGCCTTCCCTTGGCTCACTGAACTGTGTAGTTGGCCATTCCCCCCTTTATGCCCATTCTATGCTTTGCACATTATATCTCTCACAGCAGATAGCGATTAATGGCCTACCCATCCATTTCCATTACTAGATTATAAACAATCTGGGGACAGGAACAGTATTTTACTCATCTCCGTATCCCCTAGGTTTGGAGCTTGGTAGTCTGGAAAGACTCAAGAGAGCCATGATCGACTGAAGTTCTGGTTCTTACAGATTTTATACCGTAGAGTTATTTGACGAAAACATGGGGTACTGAGCATCCCCCCGCCCCCGCCTTTAGAAATATGAGTAAATGCCCACGCATTCTTGTGAGAACGCGGGTGCGCATCTCACCAATCTCCACCTCAACAATTTGGGACCTAGAAAGGGTCAGAAGGCCCCTTATGCGCACTCCCGGCCAGGGCCTACGAGCTAGACCTGCTCAGAGGCCCAGACATACCTCAGGTAACGGGCAGCCTGCTCTGAGCTTAAGGCCTTGTCTTCCGCAAAACCTCGGGACGCCTCCATAACCCTCCGCTTGGGCTCCATGTATCTTGTCCGGGGGACTGAATTTCGCTCGCTCCCGCCCTGCGCATGCGCTCTGCGTTTGGAGGGGAGGCAGGGCCAACTGTTGACTTAACGACTGACCAATCCGAAGCACCACTCTCCGGCGCCACTGCCTGAGCCCCGCCCATGAAGGTCGCGCGACTGCGCTTACGCCTACGCGCGTTGGGTCTAGGAGGTCTTCGCGTTCCCCGCGATGCCGGTTAGGTAGCGTTTTCTTGATGTCACCTATATTTTCAGTTCAGTCCGGACTGTTCTGCGGCCAGTTCCTGCGTGTACCTGTGTGTTATCCTCCTGAGTGGACCAGGCTGCCTCTTAGGAAACCTTCCCTTGGGTCACTGATTTCAGTCATTTTAGTGGCCCTTAGAGGCCTCCCCCACAGCTTGTGCTCCCAAATACCCTTTCCTTGCTCGCCAGTGCCTGTCTCAGAGCATGCTTTGAATTCGAACATCCTGGGAGGCATGGTCCCCTGACTTAAGCTCACATTGAAGAAGGGTCGTCAAGCACCAAGCCAAAGCTCTCCTTTAAGAAATAAGTAAATATTATTCAGTCATTCAGCCACAAAAAGAAAAGAAATCCTCCCATTCGCAACAACATGGATGGATCTAGAGGGTATTATGCTCACTGAAATAAGTCAGGAAGAAAAAGATAAATACCTTATGATTTCACTTATTTGTGGAGTATAAAAAAGCAAAACGAAATAACAGTGGACTCATAGACACTGAGAAGGGACTCGTGGTTACCAAGGGGGAGGGGTTGGAGTGGATTTGGTGGGGGTGAAAGGGATAAAGGGGCACAATACACAATTACAATATAAGTTGGCCACTGGACTGTTGTACAGCATGGAGAATACAGTTAACGATTCTGTAACATCTTATTACTTTGATAGTAAGGGGGTGAGAATTTAATAATATAGACAACTGTTGAACCACTGTGTTGTGTATTTGAAACCAACATGATTGTATATCAACAATACTTTAATAAAAAAAAGTAGTGATGTGATATATGGTCACTATTTCTTAAGAAGCTCCAACTGAGATAGCAGTCACATTTTCAAAGGCAGAGCTTAGGGCTTCAGGAAATGGCAATGAGTTTAAGTGGCTTGCTTGGGCAAAGCTAAATAGGAGGTTGTGGACCAACAGAAAGAAACTGTCTTCTTTCATATACTGGTAAAAATATAGACATTATGATTCCTTAAGTGTGAGAAACACACTCACTGGTCAAAATTGAATAAGTGGACACGGAGACAAACAGAACAACAGAGCGAGGCTTTAATGACAGTCTTGCAAGATCTGGTGTCTGGTGAGCAGGCACACCTGGGAAAATTGGTGCCAGTAATTTATCTCCTAGTGCGCAAGTCCCTCCCCTGGTTCCTCATTGGCTGAGTACTACAGGGTTCACATTCTTCTCCTGACTTCGCCTAAGCCAGTTATGTCTTTCTTTTAAATTTGTCCTAATCTTACTGGTAGATTTAAAAAACTCAAAACAGTTATGCCAGGCCCTTATCAATTCCTCCACTCCCACCCCCACTCTCAGCCCGAGCAGCTTCCACCACGTGGCCCTTTGTTAATACTTTACTGTTAAAATGTTTAAACATCCTAGTGGGAATAAATCACATCTAGGTTTTATACTTTCCTAACAGTTCCCCCCTCTTTTTATTTAAGAATTTTTTATTTTATTCCAAATAATACTGCCCCTGATGGTACTATTACTAAAACCCTACAGAGACTCACCACTTCAGCTAATGAATTAGCTGAAAACTCTGGCATCAGTGACCCTTTCACAGACTAGCTAGAAGGATGGTTTGGAAAATGGAAAGGTATGGTTGCCTCTGTTTTAACATCCCTTGTTCTTATAGAGGCAGTCATAAACAAGTAAATACCTATGACCTACACCAAAATATGTTAATAGAAGAAAAATTGAAATATGAGGAAAAGTAAAAAGCTAGTAGAGAAATTTGAGAGAAGACCAAGTGTAAATTAAAATACTAGTTGACGAGCTACTCCTTGAAGAGCATCCCTGGTACAGTTAATGAATCTTTGTTGATTATAGTAAATGTAACTGATCTAATCTGTTTTGTTGATGGTGGACCACTAAAATAGTGCTGACTCAAATCTTGCAGCTATTTGGTTTCTAGCTTTAAATTCATCAGGGACTCCCCTGGGGACTCCTATTGAGTCAATGTATACATTCAAATCAAAGGATCCTTGTAATGATCTGTGACTTCTATGAAAAAATTTTTTTCATTGGGTGTGGAGAGAAATGCCAGGGTAAATGGAATGTCCAATTGGACTAAAGCACAAATCCCAGTCCAGTTGGGTGGCAACGAGTAGCGCAGGTTCCCCTTTCCACATTACCACCAAACATCTGCTCGGGGGATGCATAATTTCAAGAAGTTGCGAGGTCTTTAGAGACATTTAGGACATGGGGTACAAGTCAGTAAGTTCCCCACAGGAGTTGTGAAACCTTCCCCTTGCCTAGAGAGGCAAGAGGGGTGATTCATCTTCTCTATGGAAAAAGAGGGGATTGCCCTCGAGTCTGACTTCTTTAGTGCATGAAGGAGTAAAGATAAGTTCTTGCGAGTCTCATCTCTCCAAGCGTCCTTGCCCTGATACAGGGCTAACATGCAGTTCATCTCAGTGGGGTCTGTGTCCCAGCCCAGAGGGACCAGGACCACCTGTGCTTGTAGCCATCTAGCAGCACATGCATAACAATCACTTTTATTTAAAGCCAGCACTGAAAATTTAACCCATTCTACACAGGCATTGGTGTCTCCATAACTCATCTCTATTTTAAGAGTCTGTATTAGATCTTTTATCTCTGTTACAGTAACTAGTCTAGGGTCATTATGGGGAATCTCTGGCTCATTATTTCCCTCAGGATCAGGGGTGGGCCCTATGGGTGAAGTCTTTTCTTTGATTAAATTAAGACCAAACTTTCCCACAGGATCTACTCTAATGATAACGGCACCGAGTCCTTAAACACGAGGAGCAATTACAGGGTCTGAGTCTAAGTCTTGAGGTTTATGTATAGTTAATAAAAGGGGGTTACACTGTCTGTCTTGGCAATTATCAGGAGGAATTCCTTTAGCTAAGTGGAGCTTTCTTTTTAAAGATTTTTCTGCGGCACGAGGGGCCATCCATTCTTGAAACTGGGTAGTCTACCAAACACTGCTCCACCCTGGACATGGGGGCCCACTTGCCTTTTTTATTCTATTAAGATTTGTCTATTTAGGACAGAGATACTTATTATCTCTAGAAAGCTGTCTTTGGTCATTTAGGTCACCACAAGAGAGAACCTGACAAGCATCAAACTTAATGGTTTGGGGGCTTGATGTTTTAGTAATATTGATTACTAGTTCAATAGGATAACTAGGAGTTCTTTCCCATTCTAGGGCTCTCTATGACTTGCCTGTGAAATACAGAGTTAAAAGGATAAAAGTTAACATTCTTAAGTTCTTTTTAGTTTCAGCTTTAAGGGTTGGTTAGCCACCTGGGACACCTGCCAATTCTCTGTTTTGTCCCCAGATCCCCCAGTCAGTTTCTTTTACTCTGATGTAATGAGTCCAACCCTTTTCAGCCATCTTCACTGCAGTCTCTGTGGTCAGGAGCACATGGTAGGGGCCTTCCCAGCTGGGCTGGAGTCGATCTTCTTTCCAGGATTTTGCTAACACTAGGTCCCCAGGCTGGAAGCAGTGAGCAAAGAACTCAAGTGGGGGAGTCTGGGTGAGAAGTCCTTTCAGCCTGAAAGAAGATAAGGTAGAAGACAAGGCCAGCACATATTCTCTTAAAAATTGATCTTTAGTTTCTATAGTAAGCAAGTCTGTTGCCCTTCCTAGATATGGCAGCTCATATAATAATTCGTAAGGAGAAAGTCCCAAATCCTTTGGGAGAGCAGTTCTGATCCTTAGGAGTGCTATTAGGAAGACATTTAGTCCAAGGCAACTTGGTTTCTAATATTAATTTGGTTAAATGCTTCTTAAGAGTTTGATTCATTCTTTCTACCTTTCCAGAGGATGGTGGGTGCCAAGGAGTATGGAAATCCCACTGTACCTGGAATGGCATCATTATTCCCTGTCATACTTTTGAAGTAAAATGACTCCCATTATCTGAATCAACATTTTCTATTAACCCAAACCTAGGAATAACTTGCTCTAAAATACCTTTATCTCTGATCCTGCCATTGCAGTTGTTAATGGGTGGGCCTCCACCCATCCAGTGAGATGGTCAACAATCACTACTAAATATTTAAGCTTTCCCACTTTTGGCATCTCAGTAAAGTCAATCTGAATATGTTGGAATGGTCTTATTCTTGGGAGTCTCTCTCCAGATACTGGCTTTCTCATACACTTCTTATTAATTCTTGGCACGTTATGCAGCTCCTACAAACCTGTTTAGCAATGGTGTAAATGCTAATACACCCATAAACTTTTAGCAAAGCATCACACATCTCCTGGGAACCCCAATGGCTCCCTCTATGTAACATGTTCATCCGCTCTCTCATAATAGGCTGGTTGATCATTTCCCTCCCATCTGGTAAAGTCCACCTCCCTTTCTCATCTCGAGATGCCCTCAACTCCTGTAGCTTCTTAATGTCCTTGGAAACCTTTGGGATAAATGAAATTTTAGGGATATTTGGAGTGAGTTTCAAAAATCTAATTTCATCTTCAGATACAGCCTCTTCAGCAGCTACATTAGCAATCTTATTACCTGCTGCTTCATAAGAACTTCCTTTCTGGTGACCATTCACATGCATTATGGAAATCTCAGCTGGAAGTACAAGATTTTCTAGAACCTCTTTAATTAATTACCCATGAATCAATTCCTGTCCTTTACTATTTACGAGACTTCTTTCTGTCCAAACTTTTCCAAAGGTATGGACTACTCTTAAGAAATATTTGGAGTCTGTGTAAATGGTGCCCTCTTTATCTGAAAGTAGTTTTAAGGCCTGATTAAGAGCAAACAACTCAGGTTTGGGTAATCTCCCCTTTTTGCAGATGGATACCTGGTCTCC